AATATTACGTTATTTTTCAAAAGGAGGGAGATGTAGTGTGCATACATAAGGAGTACACACTGTACGCAGTGCACTCTTAAGAACATACACTGTAACACTTTATTGCAGTGAATAAATTAATTCAAAAAGCCAAGCATAATTCGGACGCGATGTAATATGATCGCACATGCATTGGGCGACATAAGTGCAGCGTCAGTGCAACTAGTGTCAGCCACCTCAAGTGCACATAACATTCTCCCTCGCGCTCTCGCTGCCAACAGCGCTGAGTACAAATACATAAGTAAAATACATAATGCGGCCGCTCCGCTGCCGGCGTCTCTGGCAGCGCAGCTACGAGGCCTTAGCTAAGTTCATTTTAAGTAAAATGTAAGAAATCAATATAAGTTCAAGTTTTAAGATTGAGTGTCATAAAAGTTAATAAATAATTAATAAAAACTCATAATAAAAAGTACGTATGTTATTACAGTAGTTTTTACGGCCAAAAGCGTCCCAAAATTGTATGTATAATTAAAATTGTGCCGGGCAAACAATCGAGTTGAGCAGCTGCTAAAGTTGTAGTTTTAATGTTGATGCCATGCGAAGTCGAAAAACACTTATAAATATTTTGAATACGGCGTGATGAAGCATCTGAATGCGAGAGTGTGTGTGTGTGTTTTGCGTTTTAATTGCTACTGCGTGCTTTTATGAAGTGCTCATAAAATGGCCAGAAGCTGTGCCGCCGCATTTTGCTCGCGGTCAGTTGGCAGTAGTTTTGCGAACGCTATTTGACCTCGAGCTCATAAAGTGCTCGCAGCTGGGCAGAGAATTTAGATATTTTTGCAAACGCTCTTTTCAAAGTACGTTGTTAAAAAATGCTTATGTGAACTTTTGCCAGGCCAACGCAGATATTTTTTTGGAGCCTAAGCTCTTCTGCCAACTATGCACTGACATCAACAACTCTAATACAGCTCACAGCATTTACCAAACGCATTCACTTACAGTTACCAGCCATGGCAAGATGCCACACATAAGCACGCACACAGAGTCCCCCAAAGCACACAAAGCGGATAGAAAATGAAAGTCTAATAACGAGCAAAGCCAAAGTAACAACAAAACTGCAACACAAACTGCCGTTTTAGTCCGGCTAACAATCACTTGAAAACTGCTGCCGTTGCAGTGCCAGAAAAACAATTTGCCAAAGGATAGAAACATTAAAAGCGGCAGGCCATGAGAAAAACGAAAGTGTATCAAGTGTCGCCAAAGGACGTTGGCAAGCTGCTGCTGCTTCTGCTTCTGCTGCTGACCATTATGCGAAAGCAGACTGCATAAATTGTCGCAGGTCGGTGTCGTTAGGCAAAGGACTAAGGCGCTATGACTTAGGGAGCTGCAGAGACTCAAAGATACTTGGAAAATATCAGGAAGCATGGCTTGTCAGAGTTTGAAGAAATTTGTTTTCCTGGATATTATTACATTTACAAGCGAAATAATTCTTTGGAACCAATTTAGATCAACAACAAAAATTCGGTACCCATTTCAATTTCATATCAAATATTTAAACAGAAATGTTAAAACATATATAATAGTATATAATAGCTAAATATATACTATATATACATCCAATCATGTACATATATTTGTATATTGCATATATTGTATTATTAGATATTATTGTAATTGAATTAGATTTTTCCTACTTAGGCTTTAAAGGTGTTTGCTTAAATTTTAAATATATTATTTTCCAACGTCGACAATCAATGTTTGTTGACTTAATAATAAATAAATAAATAAATGAAATGTACTAGCCATAAGGGCAAAGGACGAAATACGCTTACTCTGTACCCAGTTCAGTAATTATCCAGACGTTTATCCTGACTGACGAACATGGCTGGATCAATTTGCCCCATTATACCGGTCAAGACTATTTATACTATATAGGGTTGCACGTGTTTTTTTCTACATGTAAGCAACCAATATCTATTACACTTCCTACTTAAATTACCCTTTCTTGCTTACATATGTTTCCACACATTTTATTTGCATACTTTCTTGGCAAATTAGAGATAGAAATTAGAAGAATTAAACGAATTTTATAAAAAAATGTGTTTGGAATGGAATAAAATGATAACATATCCACAAAAAAAAAAAACTTTGTTAGATCCATTCTTTCTTCGATATCATAACACTCTTTTTCGCTTCAGATACAGAACATAAATTCCAATTTTGGTGTCTAGTTATTTTACTTCCCGTGATCATATAGACGGACACAGCTAAATCGACTCATCATAGCGATAAATAAATAATTCTAAATAAATATTTCCTTCGAACTATGTATATAATACCTTCCCCGAAAGCACTGCTGGCGTTTGCAAAATAAAGCAAGGTGCTAATGGAATAATAACAACAAACCCTTACCGATCTCCAACTATCCGGCATCGCTAAGGACCAGGATGGAAGTCCACCATGTCAACCTAACCTAACCTATGTATATAAGATACTCTTTGAGTATAGAGCATACAAATACGTACATACTAAAAAAAAACATTAACAGCATGCTTATAGTTAAAAATCTAATTGAAACGCACAAATCATTTTATTTTTTTAATAATTTTTTTAAAACTTGAATAGAAGTATTGATACATATGTATGTAAATAGTGAAAACTAAAGCGTTGCATTGATACGGTACGAATTAATATTTAAGTGCTTAGCAACATAATGTTCAAACCTAATTAAATACCGAATTTCCATTTTATAATTTCCCTCGACATAATTTAGATTCTTAAAACTGCATCAGCATAATACTATATGCATCAGCATATCGATTTCTTCAATAATAATAAAGCACATACACGTGTATTCACAGATTTTCTGAAAATATCGATATTCCTATCGATAATTTTGATAAACTCGTAATACTATTGGGCTTAATTTTTGAACAAACTTTTCAAGTGCAAACGGAACTTAATTCCGTCTTTCCTAGCCCTTCCATGCCTTGGCTTTCTTGCGTTATCGTGGCATCTTGTCTTTGCGTGCGCCTGAAAGTATGCAGCAGCATATGCAAGTTACTGAGCATATGACTATGCATATTTGAGAGGCAATTTCCAGGCGGTCATCAATGCAAATGCAATTTAATGTGTGTGTTTACAACCATCCTTATGTATTGTCCATCCTTTGGCTTTGCCTTAATGACAACATAACTTTATTTTGTATCCATTTCAACATCCCATTTGAAGCTGTTCTCGCACACATTTTGCTGACAAGTACAAGCGCAATAGACAACACCTGCAGCACAACTCCAATCGGGCCAAGTGTGATGTGTGTGGATGTGCATTAGGATATTTATTTAAATATACATTGGCCATAAATAAATGTATAAGTTGACACATTTGACCTACAGCTGCTGTTGTTGCTCGCTGTCACTCAAACATTTCAATCATTTCAATCGTAAATTTCACATCCGCATCCGTTTTCCGTTTACACGTCGGCAATTTATCCATGATTAAAAGCAAAACTGTTACCAACTGCCAACCAGCAAGCAACAACAACATTAACAACAATAACAGCAACATCAGTAGTAAGCAATTTTATCGATCACGATGCGCGCGACGGTTGCAATTTTTCCGGCACCGCCTGCGCAAAGGCATTCAGCAATTTTCACACTTACACCGCAAAATTTTGTTAAATTTTCATAAAAAATACATGCATATTATACATACACGCAACGGGGTACTATGTCTGTGTAAGGAAATGCTTGCCAACTGTCACCGCGCATCCGCTTCTGTAAAATGTAAAAATGTCATGCGTGTTGTGTGTCAAAAGGGGGATATGGCTGGGTATGGCCCACATGACAACCTAGTAGCCAAACACGATACATGGCATTGCAATTACATATGCAAATAACTCCATATAACAATGCACATACGAGTATGCACATATCTGCTTTTGGACAGCTTCTATTTTAAAATGGTCCAGAATAAATAAAGTGAAAGAATTCAATTTCTTAAATTTGAATTTCAATATTTAAGTGGCACCCAGATTTATGGAAAATATATTAAAGATATGCCTGCATATGATAGTTTCACTAATAACTTGTGAAAAGAACGATCAATGGTCAATATTGCTATATACATTTATTTACATATTACTTGTTAAAATAATTGTTTTTATACTCTGCACCTGATTGGTACAAAAATATATGAGCTTTGTTCAAAGTGAAAAACGTAACCGACGTGTTCTCCAAAAAGTATATATATATTCTGCATTAACATGACAAGGAACTATACACCCACCCCCCTGAATTAGTTGATTTGCTAAAAATTAGGGAAGATTGATTATAGTGTTTGGCGTTTATCCAGACAGACGAACAAGTATATATCGATATCATCCCGTTTAAAAATATATATTCTTTATTGTTTCCAAGCCGACTCAATCCGATACTGATGTGTTTTATACTTCAAACGCATGACAGGATTTAAGTATAGTATATTCTTTTATTCATTTATTTATATTGTTAAATTCTTTGGACCAGCGTTTAATTAATCCAGCAACGCCTCTGGCTTTGATTACGATAGAGAAAATATTGAATATTGAAAAAATTAAAGTTCACTTTGGAATCAAATAGTACGTACTCCAAGATCTTTAACTGTTAATAAAAAAAAATAAAAATTGTGAATCGGTCAAGTCACTAACTGTGCTTTGGTCTACAGTGACCAATATAGAACGGAGGGTATTCAGATACGAGGAAAACCTTAATCCATATCAGAACTGTTATCTTAACACGTATTCCATCTTCTCTCAGTGTAAATAATTCGATTGTCAATACAAAAACTACTCCCCTTCCCACCGCCTCCACTAATGATGGGGTCGCTCTATTTTCAATAATTTATTTTACGTAATGCCAGCGATAGCTATTTAATTAAAGGCCAGGCCCTAATGCACACAAGCGCCGGAATGCGATTTGCCCTTGGTCGTTGTATCAGTGTCGCATTTAATAATGTCAATTTTGGCGAGCATCAGCCCCTGATTTAGTTAAAATGCGTCGCTTTATTTTGCATATGTAAACACAAACATCGGCAATTGAATATTTTAGTATTTACAACTCGGCTTGGGCTTGTGCGCGCGACTGCTGTTCGACATTATAGGTCAGTTGAAAGCCCGTTTCCGACATATTTGTCTGTGCATCGCTGGAAAAGTATATGATAAAGGGTGCGCGGGCACGCAGTTTGGTGCCGACGAGTCCACTGCCGCAGTAATAAGTTGGCTGCAGCGCCACATTGTTGGCCATGTACGAGTTCGGAATGAGCAAATAGTCGGAGGCACGGCCAGTAGTGCGTACGGTGCTGTGGCAATCCGTGTCGTAGCCCGGACCCGTATCATCCCTATTCGTGGACAATGCAAAATGATCGATGGTGTAGCTGTTTAAGAATCGAGGAGAGCAATAAATAAAAAAATTAATTATTATAAATCAAAAAACTATGCTTATCCGATATAATTGCAACCAAGTTATTTTTTTTGCTGGAAGTTTAGTTTCTATAGCAAAGGGTTTATAGAACGCAAGAATATACAGCGGAATTTCCCTCTTGGCCGGCCAATGGAGTTTCCAGGAGAAAGTAATAATACTAATAATAATAGTAATATTATCTTTGAAATACGGTCCGTGGCTGGTCAAGAGAGGCGAACTAGTTCTAAAAATTACACCAAAACGAATGTTCTGAAAAGTATCCGCCTAAAAGGGGTATCCGCGTAAAAAGTGTTCATTAAAAGAGTTCTCACTGTATCCTAGCAGCTATTGTGTAAATGTTGAGCCAACCTTCAGATATATCGAGATTAAAGACAACGTCAAAACTAATGCTTACACTACTCTCATTAGCGATATAGGCTATGATCGAGGGATTTCTGATGTAGATACTGTTAATTATTTTAATTCTTCGTTATCTTTACGTATCCAAGAAAGGCTCTACTTAGGAATGATTTATAAAAAAAAATCTTTTTAATACCCGTTTTAGCTAGACAATCGTGTTAAATTCACAGTAAAAATCGATTAAATTTGAAATAAATTGTTTTACTAGCAGCTCACCTTATTTCGCTCTGGCCCTTCGATTGGACACAGATTGCGTAATTCATGTTGGGCATATATATTCCTCCCGCATAGTTGAAACTGACAATGCCACCATTCGTGCTACGATAGAACTGATCACAGCCCAGCGGGGCGAGCAAGTCATAATCCTCGTCAGGACTCGCAGTTAGCGATTGGAGCAGCTGCTCGGCAGGTCCTGGACTGCCATTGAAACCAAAGAAGGTGCGTGGCAGACGACCGCCCAAGAAGGGCAGCATTGGACGCACAGTGGGAAACAGCGGAATTTTATTTGTCGCGGCTGAGCCATCTAGTGCTTTTGACTCTTGCGGGCACTCCAGCTGCGTCAGTCGCAGCTGCCACGTCGACTGCGAGGAGCGTGAACTGAGACTGAAGTGCAACTCGAGTAGTTCGCCGTGCTTTAAAGGCACATAGATGTGTTGGCCGGTGTTGCGACCGCACAGCTTGAAACGCTGCACTTGCAAATAGTCCACGCACTCCAGTAGCTGCTCCCCGTTGCCAAGAAGCTGTGGCTGTGGCAGCTCAAATCGCTCGAAATCGATGCGCACTTGACACACTTGCGTGCTCCACGATGCCACGTTATACTGGCAGCTGTCCAGATTGGCCAGCTGTCGAGTTTCCGGATTGCGTATGACAAGACGCTTTTGGCGATTGGTGCCATTGCATTGCAACTGACAGTGGGCGGGGACGGGGGCGTGGCAGAGTAACAGCAGCAGTAACAACAACAATGGCAGCAAGAAGAGTTGCATTGTTAAATACATTTGATTGGATAAATCCCACGTTGCTTGCCTCACTCAATTTGACAATCGAAACTATTGACAGCTTCCACACACACGTTTAGTTGAATTTGTCAGATTGCTGAGCGCGCATTTTGCTTTTATGTGGTGGCTCTTATCATTCGCTTGTACATCGAATTTATTCTTGTTACTGCTGATAAGTGGCATTGACATTTGCTGATAGCATACGAGTACAGCAGAATATAGGGAGAACACGTCCTACACAGCATTTGTTGTGAGTATCTTTCAACAATCATTTCATCAATGTCAACAAATATTTTTCAGTTACGAAATGCGATTTGCAAGAGTCAGGTATGAGAACACAAAAGTGAAAGTTTCGTTCTCTTTTATCTCTCCCATGTCTGCAAGAGATGTTTAGATACATTAACATTTCTATCGATAATGACAACAAATCGTTCGGTCCAATTGTCCCGTACCAATACAATCTGATTTGCCTCTCAAATGGCTGAGAAATAGTCTGTAATTGGTCTTCCAAAAGATTTATAGCAACCAATTGTTGTTCCGCCAATACTCTAATTTATTTTATTTATAAATAATGCTGTCAATACACATTTATGAACTGTGATTTATTTATGTACATATATGATAACATTATAAATTGAAATAAAGTTATGTAATAATATTACGTTATAATTTCAACTTACAAGATAAAAAGCCTAAGAAAAAAATGTACAATAACAATTAACGCCTCCGACACGTTAGAGGAATTTTATTTTATTATACCCTATACCCGTAGGGTAAAAAGGGTATATTAGGTTTGTGCAAATTATGTAACATGCAGAAGTAAGCATCTCCGACCCCATAAAGTATATATATATTCTGAATCAACATGACGAGAGAAATCGATCTAGACATGTCCGTCCGTCCGTCCGTCCGTCTGGATGAACGCAAGGATCTCAGAAACTATATCAGCTAGAATAACCAAAGTTGGTATCCAGATTCTCCTAGGTCCGATAAAGGACGAGTTTAATTTTGTTTAATTTTCCCCCCCTTCCCTCGCTACAGGACAAACAAAATTAGTTTTGTAAAGCTACCGAAGAAAGGAGCAGCTCTGTGCATTTTTCTCGCTCAGCACACATTAACCGCTTTTGAGGAACACATGACGAAATGCGTAAATATCATTTAAAATGTTCACCAAGATGATATAAAAATTGTAGTTTCCAAGGTTTTTTTTAAGCATTTCTAGTAAAAATAAATGTAGCTTTTTATTACGTTTTTTTTTTTTAATTTTTTTTGCTTTATTTCACTCTCCTTCCCGAAAAAAACAGCTTTTTCCCTTCTAACGAGTTGGAAACGCTGAAAGAAACGCTCAGAAAATAATTCAAGTTGCATGGCAAAAAGATGCATTTCGGCTACAAAATCCAAAAAAACGTTATTCGACACTAAATAAAAACAACTCATTGATTAGATCAAATCAACACAAAACAGTAAAGGAAAATGTATATACTATATCAAACAAAAAATACTAATAATTATGAAAAAAAATAAAATATAACGAGCTTAGACAGAAATAATTTGTTGGGTTTTGAGGTCGAGGTTGTTCGAAATCTGTTTGAACTGTTTGAGAATTTCAAAACACAACGTGCGAAAATATCATTTCTTTTATGCTGTTAGAAGTGCTGCCACTTTTCGATTGTCAAATTAAGTGAATGATAGCTAATAAAACAAGAAGTAATAAATAAATAGCTTTTGGACTAAAAATATAAATTTCTGTTAAATGGTTAAAAAAAAAAATAAACGTATAAACAATATTAACAAACCTTTTTGATTTGAGGGCTTCAACTAAAACAAGAGCAGTACCATTTAACAGCTCGAGTAACTGATAGAAATGGTATTTATATATTTTTCAATTAAGATTACACAGTCTGCGACAATAGAGGAGGAATTGCAAAGTGGATTTCAATAAAATACTTACATAAGGTTATGAATTTAAAATAGCTCACTCTTCTATCATTGAAAATGCTGAATTTCAAGAAAGCGTAATTAGACAAGCATTTTGGTAGCAATAAAGATATATAGATAGAGTTAAGAGCTATTCGTATGGCTATTAATGGCAGAAATGTTGGTAATACTCTACTGTTTACCTTTCTACGCTGTTCGAGAAAGATCTTCTACCGGAAAAAAAGGACCAAGAAGCGGTCTTACCACATTTCCGAACGGTAGCTTTGACGTTTTGAAAAATTATTGTGGTATTTTGAAGGAAAGAAAACGCTTACATAAAATATAATCAATCATAATGAGACTAGCCGAACTATTGTCTGTTCTGCATTTTGGAGGCAGTTCGAGCCTCAGCGATGAAGCTTGATATCTAAAATCTAACAGTGCTTATGCGAAATGAGTTCATAAATAAAATAAATAATCGTCAAGTTTATTTAACAAATTTAATAATTGTCCGCGATGGACAGTTTTAAATAAAAACACTCAAATTTTTTTTTACATTTCTTCATGTAAAATACTGTCTAAAATTTCCAAAAAAAAAAGCAATGATATTTGAAATATCATGCCGTTCGTTCGTTTTGTTTTTATTTTATTGTAAGTATTTAAGCCAATAAAATTTAATTACTATTTTGACAAATACAGTCCAAAATTCTTAATACTCTTAGCTTCTAAATAATTACGATATTATGTGCATTTCTACATTCACTCCACCGTCACTCATTTTTTTTTTATACTGCCCAGCATTCCTAAAAAAATGGAAACAAATCGTGCATAATCCCTATTTATACTCTGTACATGAAATGTACAGAAGTATATTAGGTTTGCGGGAGCTGAAAAATGTAACAGGCAAAAGGAGGCGTGGCAGACCCCACAAAGTGTATATATCCTTGATCAGCATGAAGAGACAAGTCGATCTAGCCCTGTCTCTCTGTCTGTCCGTCCGTATGAACACCTGGATCTCAGAGACTATAAGTGATAGAGACACCAAATTTTGCACAAAGATGCCTTATGTGTGTATTCTATACGAGTTTGTTTTATTTTTTTATTCCCCCCCCCCACCCCACTTCCCCCCTATGGGGGTTTTCCCGATTTTCCATTCGTATAATCGCCTATATCTCGGAGACTATAAGACCTAGGAACACCAAATTTTAGTCCCAGATGCCTTATGTAAATACGGTGAAAATATATATTTTTTGGAATTTTCTTCCCTGCCCCTCCCGTAATTCTTGGAATTTCGAGCTCAAATTTGCAAATACCCTCAGTTAGTTATTATGTGTCCGTATGCCAAGTTTCCCTATAATAGACCGATTTAACAAGAAGGTATAGCCATAAATATATTTGCTGCTGCAGCGCTGCTCAAGCGCTGCCCGCGGCTGTTGTTGATGTTGCTGTTTGGTTGACTGCTAACATGTTTACACAGACACGAATAGATGCGCATAGGCATACATACACTCACACAGACGCAATTGCTATGTAAATGTGCAATTATACACCCTTTACGTGAGTTCGAATACCGAGAAAGGTAAAATCGATCAAATTTTTTTTTAATTTTTAAATTTTTTTTTGTTTTCTATAATTATTGTAAACATACAAGTATGTACAGAGAATTTCAAAGTCGGGACACCCGACTTTAGCTTTTTTACTTGTTTTGATTTAAAGTAGTAACACATCCAAGATAGAGGTTCAAAGGTCATAGACGAACTAAAATAAGAATATTTGTTGGCTTTTCGTTTCCCAGCATTATTGTTTTGTGGTTCATTCGTTCCCTTTGGGCAGAGCGTATTCATAATATCAATTTATTTTCAATTTTGGCTTTTTTCCGGTGTATCTAAAAAGAGTAAAGCTTGCAATATGAAGGGCATACCAATGCCAAGTTTAATGCCTGGGCTCGCCCTGCTGCTACTCTTAATTGTCGCGCTGCTCGACGACGATGACGGCGACGCCTACGACGACAAAACAAAATGTACAAAATGCCTAATTGGCAATTGCGCGCGCGCATGCGCAACTGTAGAATGCCACAGCGGCAAGGGCATGTGGAGGCAACACAAGCTGGCAGCAAGTGCGGCATAATTATGGCCATGGGGTGCATATAGGAACTCGAACGGCAGTTGTTGCCACGCAGAGGTGCGAGCGAGTTGGGAAAAAAGTTGGATCGAGTTGGAGCTTTGAAACTATCGAGCACACAATCACATTTCAATCCATATGCACATTTGATTGATGATCGGCTGCTGTAAGACTATTTGATTTGACATGCCCATTTCATAGCCGATGCGTCCGTCTTTTGTAGCGCCAGTCCCACAACAAATGAGGATCCGAATGAGAATCCGTGCATCTTCGAGAGATCAAGGTAATTTGCGGCCCTTCAAGAAAGGCATTAACGAAGCCAACTGATTGGACAACTGCAACGCTTCTTGATTGACTCACTTGGCCTTTGAATGGATGAGTAAGTGAGTGAGTGAGTGATTGAGTTTGAATATTGCCTGAGGTGTACGTATATTAGTGACATGGCTGGCATTAATTGTGGGAATATTTGTTTAACTTCAGAATATCAATGCGAGGGCCTTGTGAATTGTATGCAGAACGTTTTTCAAAAAACATAGTTCAGTTGCTTGATTTTAAAGCGTTTGCTAATATATACATACATATATAGGCAAAATCTGAAAATCTTTAAAATTGTTTCTCTCATACCCTGTATACGCAAGGTAAAAAAATTAAATTTTTTCTTTTTAAAATTAGCTTTAAGTAATTCGGAGCTTCTTCTCTCTGTTAAGTTTTTGCATATATGTATTCTATTTTGAGAAAATTAAGAAATAAGAACATATTTGTTTTGCTTCGAAAGATCGATAGTTTTTAACCCATATTTATCCATATTTAATTCAATATTATCCATATTTAATTCAATATTATTATAATTAATTAATATAATTATTTCATATTTGATTGATAACTTCAAAGAGTTTGCCTTAAAACCCATATTAATTAATTTTTTATTAGAATTCCAGATCTATTAGTTAATTTGGTCTGTTAACCGACTTCAAAAAGGGAGGAG